AGGAGAGAGAATAGGCCATTTTTAGGAGGGGTTCAAAAGGGTCAGGTGGAATTACTGGCCGGCCACCAATTTTTAGGGTCCTCTCATGTGTGTACATCACAAATATGTGGTTCAAAGTTCAAGAATGTGGGCCCAAGGTGTTCAACATTAGCCCGGAAGGAGGGGGTCAAAAGGGTCAAGTAACATTAATGGCCGGCCACCAACTTTTAGGGTCCTCCCATGTGTGTACATCACAAATATGTGGTTCAAAGTTCAAGAATGTGGGCCCAAGGTGTTCAACATTAGCCCGGAAGTGTGAAAAACAGGCGCTGGAGGGCGTCGGAGGATGTATAACTGGTTGCTACAACAATTACTGGCCTCTCCCCCTTCAGTGACCTCCCCGGTGATAAAACAGAGGTACCTGCCAAAAATGAACGAAAACCGTTGCAAAACGAATGCTCGGGGACCAAAACGCGCAGTTCGAGGTCCCAAAAATGGGTTGTCAAGCACCGAAAGTGGCGTTCGGCCACGAAGTGGGTTTCTCAGCCCCCAGTGTCCTTCAAAAGGGAGTATAACGGAAGTATGCCAAAAAACAGAACAAACGGAGATGGTTAGGCGGTCTCAAACCGAGGCACACGGCCTGACGGCTCCGAAAATCGGAAACCGGACTCCGAAGTGGAAAAAAAAAATGGCCTACGGCCACCAAATGTAGCCTACGGACATTGAGAGATGGTCTACGGGACCTCTCCCTTCCCTCAGGAAAAGAAACAGAGAAAATCAAGTCTGGTTCGTAAACCGAGACAAGGCACAGAAGAGGGTTCGGAAATCCGGATCGAGTCTGGTTCCCAAACCGAGACAAGGCACCGGAGAGGGTTCGGAAGTCCGGAGACAGGGCTCATGGCCGCGACTCTGAGACTTCTGAACGAGCGCGATATGCAATATCACCAAGCGCTCAACTGGTGACGTTTAAGTCTTAAGGTCAGTCAAAAATGGGGTGTCTACAATAAGACACTTCAAATATAAGTGAAAATTTTAGCTGAAAGCAACCCTCTATTTCTTTGATTGTATCTGAACATACTGGAGTGTCAATTTTTTTTTCTTTTTTCTTTTTTTCTCATTAGCCTTTTGAAGAGGTAAAGATAGGGGCAGATCACAAAACATGATGACTTGAACTTTGTGTTCGACTAACACAAACCCAAAGCCAACCGCCTTAAGGGCCAGGTGAACAACATCATCGCATGTTGAGTGAATAACATACCCTTTCCATTTTTTGGAGGCACCAACATTGGCACATAAGGAATGATCATATGCTTAACCTGCATAAAGAGAAATGTTCGAAGGATTAGACATGAAGGAAAATCAAAACAAAAACAAGTACTCAATTTTTTTTTATTGCATATTTGGAATTTATAAACAGGAAAAAAATTCGTATTACTTTCACAAATAACATAATTAGTGGGTTCCTAACAGTCGTCTAAGAAGCACGGACACGGATACAGGACACAATGGTTTCAAACAAATGGGGACATAGTCATGGCGAGGACACAACAATAAAATCTTTTTCATATTTGCTATGTAGATTATCATTACATCCACAAAGTATCCAAAAAAAAATCACTTTTGAATTAACACTTGTCGTTGTATCCATTTTATGGATGATTGTTAAATATTTAAATCTAAGCAAAAGAGTAATAAACATTCAACATCCAACATCCATCAAAAGCACTAAAGAAAAGGGGGAAAAAACCTAGTTGGCATGTCGCCAGAGTGTCCTTGTCATTTCTCCTGAAAACATATTAATTAAATAAAAGTGTCCCCACCGTGTCCCTGTGTCTCAGTCGTTTCTGACACCCCTACGGTACTTGTTTTGAAGTGCCGGCAATTCATAGGCAGTTGTAAAGGCAAGTTCAAAATATTCCATTGCTTAAAATGTACTTTAAATGTGAAAGATTAAATATCCAATAAAGAACAAATGGAAGGAAGTATACTTCAGTCCACAAGACAATATATCTTATTCTGACACATCATTTATAAAAAGCACGAAAGTATTGGGATTGAATTAGTATTTATGCATACATTCTCATCCAATTAAATAAGATTTATATTTCCTAGGTGGGATAAACCGCAAATAAATATTATGCAAACCAAATGAGCAAAAAAGAAGAGATGTTAACTCACAGTTCTATCAAGTCCTGCAAGGACTAGGGGATCACATTCTATAACTCCATACCTCTTAACAACTTTCTGCCTACAAGGAGCAAACAACAAATCAGACTTACAACTAAGTTAGAAAGACAGAAATAAAGCATTGTGCTATGTATGCATATAGCCATAATAACTTAACACAAACAATTCAATTTGTTGGCCACATTTTTTTTAATAAGAATTTTCTGACCACATTTTAAATACAGCATTGGCACAAACAAATGAAATGTCGAACTTAAGCATCAATCATCAAACAAAATTCATCTGCTTAGGCAATATCCCCACCAAGAATTGGCCTAATGATCTGTCTAAATATTAGCATATCACGGACCATGAATTAGTCAGATAAGGTCCAGTGCTTTGAAGATGAATTACTGATGCAAAGAATTACAAGCTCACCCAGGATCGTTTGAAATTCTAAATAAGTGCCTAAATGCAGGTCGAATATCAGGTGGACTATCTGCTAACTGGTTGACTGGAGGCTGTACATAAGCTGTTTCAGTTAATAATTCTATCAGACGACATCCTAGCTGTATTACATTAGAAAAAGAAAATAATTAGTAACTATAGAACATAAAGATATATATATATATATATATACCCATCACTTATTCATTTCAGAAGGAATAAATATTGATGGCCACAAACCTTAGCCTATGTGTCACGACCCCAAGGCTTAATTTCTTCATCTTTCACCAGCTTTTGCACCTCAAGTATCTTTCTTCTTCTGATCAAACTTTTTACACGTTTCCTTCGTATCTCAACATCCTTACGAAAGCTTTCTTCAGTTGGAGCTACAATCTTCTTTCTCTGGTACATCTTAGTTTTCTCCAAGAAACTATGAATTCTAACCTGTGCTAATTGCAAAAATAATAACAAGATTATCAATAATTTTATATTTATCCCAAATAAGAGATAATGGATAAAAGAAAAGTTAATTAGACAAAATCTTTTTCCTGATGGCTGATATCGACATTTCAAATAATAATCGAAGTGAGATTAAAGGCTCTATTCATTTCTCGAATTAGATGATGCATACATATCATTATGCCCAACTTAATCAATTCACTTAGTCTCATTATTTGCCAATCCTCTAATAAGCTGATTGGCTTATTCAAAACGGCTTGCATTAGTTACAAGTTACAACTTATACGTAAGCTCACTATGAATGTCAATTAAAATGGAGATCAATGGTTAATGCAATACCTTCCAATGCAATTCAAATTTGATTCGAAATTTGATGAAACCTTTAACCAAATCTCTCCAAACTAAAAGTATGAAGTAAGAAATACATATTTTTCTATTGCTTGAATACAAAAATAGACTTAATGAACAATGAAGTCACTTGTGTTCCTAATGAGATTAATCAAAATACATAACACTGACTGGACATAAATTCATTAAAAATGATTGAGATTACTTATCGACACTACAGATGAGGAAAGGCAAAAAGGATTTTATTTGGGGTACGCCAATAGATCTGATTGTGACAAATGACAGAGCCAGATATAGTAAGAAAAAAAACTTATGAAATCAAAATTAATCTTAGATGTGTCAACTGTAGCAGTATAATTGGAAATATCTCAATTTGCTAGTGGACCCACAGTCACTTCCCATTGCTTCTTATCTTCTTTAAGGCTTCAGTCCTTATAGAAGCAGGACATAATCTGTAAAAACCCAATCCCAAATATGATTGTAACTGACTTATTACTAGATATATCGTATACAGAAACACACATGTAGGTCTACAGGCTCGAGATTCTAATTCCTTATTCTCTTTCCCTAGAAAACCTTAACAAATTAAGAAAATCCTTCCACACTGTACACTACATGCTAATGCTGTGTAGTGGGAGTAGCCTTATACAATGGTATAACTGAAGTGAATATCAAGCTACTTATAGATAAGAGTGTGATTTTCTATCAACAATTAGAAATCAATTATACATATCTATTAAAATGCATTTATATTTTTCAATTTTTCTTATGGTCAAATTAATCATGTAAAACATATCTAAGTGCATCCTATAATAGTTGAACTATTGATGCATTATGTCCCTACTTTCTTCGATCTTCTCCTATAAAAATTCCTTTGTTTTTAGCATTAATATATTTTAGTCAATGCTTTTCTTCATTAGGAAAATTAGAAAAACTGTTTGGATCACTCTGGATAGCTTTAATTTAGTATTTTGGTCCAAAAATGTAATATATTTCTGTGTATTGAGTATTTCTAGCTTCATGTACCTAAATGCCCGTTGTTGACTATAGAAGTTTTGGTTCCACTAAGAAGCCCCTAGTCCTATGGAATAGTGTGATTTGTGTTGTGCTTTCAGTTATTTGCACAAAAAGAAATACAAGATTTTTAATGGTAAGTTTGAATAAGTTGCAGACCTATAGGGGAACATTTTTTACTTGTCTCCTTTTTGGGTTTCAATATCAATATCTTTAAAAGAATGCCTTTTTTTTTATTTCTAGAGATTGGAAATTGTTTGTTATTTGTAGTTGTGATTAATTTTTCTCTTCCTTTTCTTATGTTTTGATGCCTTAGCGTACTTTGTACTTTCTTTATTCTCTGATTTTAATAATAAGTCAGCAGCATGTGGCCCAAGCCAAGCGAATAAGGACCAAATATCAAAGTCTATGATAATCACAATAGATCACTCAAAAAATATAATGCAAAAATGAATTGCTACAAATGCAATTTCAAATAATCAAATAATATATTTCCCTGTAGTTCTCTATTACATGCTTCAAGTTAACCAACCAATCACTTTAACCCAACAAGTCACAACAAGATAGCCACAATTGACGACACTATTCTACACAACTGAATCCAATAACTTTCTACATAATTATTGCACATTGTCTCTATAGATTCAAGTTTCAATTCAATGACTACTCATATAGGGATTCCAGTACCACAGACCAATACAGAAATTGCAAATTTGCATTTGCTTAGCATATATTCATATACAGAACAATTCAAGACTCACCTCCTGCTCAATTGCCACACCAATCCAAACCGCAGCTTGAACAACCCGAACAGACATGTCCTCTTTCACAGTCATCAACAAAGCCATCATCTTATGCATCACAATAATTGACATCTTATCAGCCGGCAAAGAATCGATATACGGTGCAAATGCTGCCTTTTGCTTCTTCGTTCGCTGCTCCTCGTTGCTACTAATTTTGTTGTGCTTCGTTCTGTTTTTTCCACCATGTGTTATGTTATATCTTTGTTGTGTAATGATGCATTTTTTTTTCACCTTGGCCTTTGATCTATTATTGCTTCATTGTAATTTCTCCCCATCAATAAAATCTCTCTTTTTCTCTGATGAAAACAAAAAAATAAATAAATAAATAAAATTAAGCATTTATGGCAAGACCACATTAGCATCATATCTCTTGACCTGGTACATTTGTCTTGATTTCTATATGCATCTATGGCAACACTGGCAAGACTATGATTGCATCGGCACTACCATTAATGTATTTGTATTTATCAACTATACTATTTTGTGCTTCTTAGATAGGCGATAGGTGAGTGTGATTACCAATTCTTCAGTGTAACAACATTAGTGGCAAATTTTCTGAGGCAGAACATTGAAAGTCGAATTTGCTTTTGATTGGCTTTATTCACAGATTTCTGTAACATGCTTGTAGTCCTTCTGCAGTTTTATTTTTGTTAATTAGCTTTCTTTGTTTTGATACTTCATAAGGTTTGATTCATTGCTTGTTACTTGCATTTTTTTTTTTTTTTCTGGTTTCCAAAGTTGTAATTATGTTGAAAAAATAAGTGAAAAACCAGTTTGTGGCTTCTAAGGAGATGTTGTAGCAACAAATATACCGACATTGAGACTATTGGATCCATAAGATATAATCCACGAAAAATCTGGAAAGGCTTGCTTGGATCAAGAAGATAATCTACCTAAAATCTGGTAATTCGGTGCCGGCATAGTTGGGATGGTCTTGCTTGCTTTGATACTTTTTGCACTCGCCCTTGATTTTCATCACTAAAATTTTTTGTTCTTTTGTTTATCAAAAATGAAAGATATGGAAAGGCTATGACGTTAGTTAATCTGAGATATTGAATGGAAAGCAAGAAAAACATCTGTTCGTGTACCAAATCAAAACAGAATAACAAAAGTACAAATAAATGAAGAAGACCAGACAGAAATCTTCTCCTATTTTCTGCTTTCTTCTCTTCTATTTCCTTGGACTACTCTATAATGAGTTAAAAGCTCGCTGTTGTATCCTGGAGAATGATCACCAAGAGCCATCTGCATTCTGCACCGAATGGAGGCTTAATCAATCTTAAGGACAAAGAGTTTAATTTTGGCGTTGCAATCTTTTCATCCTCTTTAATAAGTTTCTTTCCTTCATTTTTATCTTACTAGGTTCTGTTTTTTTTTTTTTTTTTTAAATCGATCTTATTTTTTTTTTTTAATCGATCTTAATCAATCACTGTTTTTATAATTTTTTCATAACGAGGACCAAATACTTTGAACTACCTAGAAAACTTGCATAACACTGCTTGAAATTAAAGAAATTTATTCTAAAACGAAGCCTTTATTAAATATATATAATAATAAAAAAATTGTTTCTTTATAGATGAAAGTTCACTTTAAAGGACTACTAGACATAAAAAGATCAAAGAATCATAATACAAACAAAACATAAAGAGGTCAAAGAATGATTATAGATGAATTATATTATATTAGTGTAGACACCCCATTTTTGACCGACCTTAAGACTCAGACGTCACTGATGGAGCGCTCGGTGATGTTGCATAATGTGCTTGTTCAGAAATTTCAGAGTCGCGGCCGTGAGCCCTGCCTCTGGACTTCCGAACCCTCTTCTGTGCCTTGCCTCGGTTTGCGAACCAGGCTCGGTTTTCCTTGTTTCTTTTCCTGAGGGGAGGGAGAGGTCCCGTAGACCATCTCTCACTGTTCGTAGGCTACATTTGGTGGCCGTAGGCCATTTTTCCCATTTCGGAGTCCAGTTCCCGATTTTCGGAGCCGTCAGGCCGTGTGCCTCGGTTCGGGACCGCTTAACCGTCTCCGTTTGCTCTGATTTTTGGCATACTTCCTATTTCATCCCTTTTGAGGGACACTGGGGTCTGAGAAACCCACTTCGTGGCCGAATGCCACTTTCGGTGCTTAACAGCCCATTTTCGGGATCCCGAACTGCGTGTTTTGGTCCCCGAGCATTCGTTTTGCAACGGTTTTCGTTCATTTTTGGCAGGTACCTCTGTTTTATCACGGGGAAGGTCACTGAAGGATGGGAGGCTAGTAATTGTTGCAGCAGCCAGTTATATCTCCTCCGAGGCCCTTCAACGCCCGTTTTTCTGACTTCCGGGCTAATGTTGAATACCTTGGAGTTAATGTTGCCAACTTTCAACCACTTTTCATTCCACTTAAACACACTAACTTTTAGGTCTTTCATTTCATTAACACTCACCATCTCTTTCTCTCTTTCACAACAAGGAATAGAGCAATGGTACGGCAGGTAAGGTTTGAAAAACAAATCGAATGGTTATATATATATATATGCATATACATGTAGTGAGATTGAAATCAGAAATAGAAAATAGTACTTTTTCTAGGAAAAGGTTTCCTAAAATAAAATCTCAATTGAGTTTGGATTCTGAAATCATAAATAATATATTGTGAGATTGAAATCATAAATAGGAAATAGTACTTTTTCTAGGAAAAGGTTTCCAAAATAAATCCCAATTGAGTTTGGATTTTGAAGTCATAAATAAATGAATATACTCTCCTATACACGATTTTATTACACCCTATCATCAAGTTAGTTAATTAAAATCGTAGTTAAATAACTCAAGGATAATTATGTAAATGATCCTTATATTATACACAATGTGTTAATTTAATTCTTGTTATTTTAATTTGTTCGATTTTACCCTTTTATTTAACAGATTGTGTCATTTTAGTCCAATAAATAACAAAAATTGATACATTGTATAAACTATAGGGATCAAATTGGCACATAGTTTGACTTTCCGTCCACCATACTTAACAACCTTTATTTATTGTACTAAAATGACAATCCATTAAATTAAAGGTCAAAATCGAACAAATTGAAACAATAGGAACCAAATTGACATATCATGTAAATTACAGGGACTATTTGTATAATTTACCCATAAATCCAAAAAATTATTTAGAATTTATAATCTAGGCCATGATTCAATCATCGTTGGGAAAAAAAATTAAATTAAACAAAATCGTGATACTAATGACATGGTATCACTATCATTCCAAAAAAGGGGTTCATCCCTCCCATGTGAGGATTTTATTGATGGGTGATGTCACGTATCACTAATGATGCAATATCACCGTTGTATTGAATTTTTATTCTATGATTAGGCGGCACAACTATTAAATCACTCTACCCTTTATATTTAAATTTTTGAGTAAAATGGACTTTTTGTAAAACGAGAAATTATTTGAATGCCTACATCATTCAATTATTGGACAAGTGTTCTATTAGTGGAACACATTGTTTTAGTCAATGACATTTAAATTGAAGCACCAGATAAATTTACCCTAGAAGCAAATTATAATTTTTCTTATAAAACGAGTTGAACTTGTTCATGCGACAATCATAAATAACCCGATGAATTATCAACATAAGTTCGTTTAAGAGTTCTATCGAAATACAACTTTGGTAAAACATGGGAGAGAGTTAAATAAAAATAAATAACCAAGTGAATCACATCAAATCAAAAGATAAATCTGTAATTCATCTGGTTGAAAGATAAAAGGGTAAAATTTATTATACCCACTCGTGGTTTCATCATGGAACACTTTTTTTTTTAATCAGCGAAAATCAATAGTTAATTGTTAGATTAGCATCAGTGGCGGAGCCAATATTTTGATTCATGAGGGCATCATTAATCCTTAGCTATATCAATTAAAAAACTTAACCAAAATCTAATTTTTATTTGGTGATAGAATGACCAAAGATCAATGTGATGTCAAAATTATGTACCTTAGATATATTTTATTAACCACTATTTTTTTATATGCTATTTTAGTTACTAAGGGTTGGTTTGGGAAGTGGGTTAGCTTTTTGGCTTTTTGGCATTGTTGGCTATTTTACTCTGGGCTAAAAAACTTGGTTTTGGAACTTTTTGATTTTTTGGCTTTTTTGACTTTTTTTGTGAGAGACGAGTGTAATGATTATAAGTTGGATGTGATGTTTTGTTTGTTGTGGCTAAAATAGCCTATTTTGTCTTTTAGGGCTAAAATAGCTAAAAAAGTCCACAATCTATCTTCCCAAATGGAGCCTAAATATGATGATAATCACAATTTAAAATATAATAACATGCGTACCAAAAAAAAAAAGAAGAAGATATATGTGGAGAAAAACAAGAGAGAAATGAGAGAGATATAAATAATTATAAGTGAATATTTTGATAAAATTAAACATTTATAATGGTAAATTATAAGGAATTTATTAAAAATAAAGAGAAAAGAAGATGAGATATAAACATTTTGAGACTTATTTGACAATTAAAAGGGAGTTAAATGAAAAACTTCTTCTAATTAGAGGTAACAGTATAATTTTCAAAAAATGTGTCTCCCCTAGACCCAATATAGCTCTGTCCCTAATTAACACCTTATGAGAGTTGAAACTTACACCCATACACATTGCAAGAAATCATTGCTCTCCTATTACACTCCTAGATGTAAAACCCAAGATCGTCACTCGAACATTTTACCCCTATAGTTTAAATATATGCAAACAACCCTTTTATAATTTTGGATTAAAGTCATACCGTTAGTTTTTTTTTTTTTTTCTTTAATATATGCAGAAAACCACTTTTCCAAATTGAAAGTGGGCAATGCAAAATTTTCAAGTCAAAGGAAAAAATATCCTCATCTTCATCTTCTTCTCTAAATTAAATCATATTCTTCGCTAAATCCTAACTCTAACCTTTAATGTCCTCGCCCATAAAAAAAAAAAAAAAGGCCCTTCAAATATCCTCTTCTATGAATAATATAATTTAATTTAAAGTGTTATTAAATGAGAAATTAAGTTAAAAATTAAAAGTTATTAGATTAAGATAATTTTATGATAATAAAATTAAGGTGTTTAAGTTCATTTATGGTTTAATTTATTAATAATAATATATATATATTCTAAAATGTTATTAAATAATAAATGGCAAAAACTTAGATTAAGGTACAAAAACTTACCAAAAGGGTTAGACAACAAGTCATTTGGGTCCAATCGCTGGCATATGTGTATGTATTCTCTATTGCATCAGCAAAACAAAATTTT